TCAATTAGTATTTTATTAGCAAATTTAGTATAAATAGAATAGCTTTAGGACTTGGCCAAGAAGAACATGATTAGATAGTAGTAGACAACTGTAACAAGTAATTCTGTAAACATTTAGAATTCAATTAGTTTTATCACTAACAAAATAAATACTAATAACAGTTATATGCTAACAAATATAATTGTATCAAATTCTTTATTCTTTAATAAAATTCTTAAAGTTTATTCTAAATATATATTATCGTTTGAAGTAATAATTATTTATAAACCCTTTAGAGCTCTCCTTAAAGTATTGAATAAAAGCTAAATCCCTTTGTTAATCTTGTGTTAATACTAATTTTCAGTTGTTAATATCGTAAGATAACAATTTGGTGCAGGTTGGGTGAAATAAAAACCAATCTGACAAATCAAACGTATGCGAAGGACACTTAGACAATTAACAGTAGCTGTAGGACCAATTTTTTTCCAACTTCAGCTGCGGGTCGCTAAGATTCAATTTCAGTATAAATCATTAGAGAACGAAGAAGTTATTTTAATCGATCGTCTTAAACATTTACAAAGCAACATCAACAATCTAAAACATTTTATTGAATTTCATAAGATTAAGGTCACGTGGGATGAATTAGTATTTAGTGATGACTATTTTGACAACGAATTTCAATAAATATGGAGGAATCTAGCACTGATCATATCACTGAGAAACAATACTTACTAACTGTCTGACAACACATAGCTGCTCATAAGGAACTTGAGGATCATAAAATCTCATTTATTACCCATTTAGATCAATCCTGCCTACAGTGTCACCCAGATTATGAAACTCAATCAGAAAAACTACTGTCTTTTGACAATTTTTGGTTTCTGTGAATTGTACCTAAATATAACGCTATATCATATACTATCTTTACTATAGTATATTTTATAAGGGCCTAAGAAAGTGAGGCTAGCTTTTTGGAAAGAGATTACTTATTGAAATATTTGTTAAGAAAAATTGTCACTACAATTAGATATAGGGACAACATACTAAAGGTATCCTTTGATAGCATCACTGATAAATTATATTAAATTTAGGTAAAAACAAAACAGTTTCAATCGTGAAAAATTGAAAGTGTTAGCAGTACTGACTCAATTATAAACAGCAATTGTAGTGATACCTCAGAAAATATGGAAAGAGATCAAAATGATACTATCATAGTGCCTTTTTAGGGAAGTAATGAAAGCTCCCCAGGGATGACACTTTCAGTGGCAACGTATAAATCACCATCAGGAACTACCACACCTATACCTCAACCACCATCTAATATACCATCTTATGTACAATCACGATAACCATACCTAGGAGATAGGAGGCAATATTATGAAGAAGAAAATGACACATATGCTCCTGATTATGAATAGAATATCCTATTTAAATATGTCAATGATAATGACGAAACATTATAGAGAACATCTTTCTTTGACAATGCAAATGAACTAGAGAGAGGAGGAACTCCAAATAGAATACCTCAAAGAGTTACATTTAATACCAGTAATGATAAAAGGTCTTCATCCCCTATTAGGGTAGAAAATGTTCAATAATTAGTAGCCTCAACATTATCCAGTAATCAATCGTCAAGGCCATCAAATTTAAGGATAACAACTCTATCAGTAGGAAATATAAATAGTGGGTCATCATTGGAAAATCCCTACAATTTTTCCTAAGCAACTCAATATAGTTGTATATTTGACCCCTTGATATCACTTGATCCTCTCCGAAATAGCAATCCATCTATAACCTCCAGTTTCACAACCGCAAATTGGCAACCAGTAAATAATCGTTGGCTTAAAAGTAACTCAAGTAACAGAAGAAATAATACAATGGGACATCAAAATGTAACTACCAAAGGAATTCCACAGTCAACAACAGTAGTCCAACTATATAATATGCGATCACTATCAAACTCCTAGGGGGTAATTCTCGATTAATTAGTACAACAACTTCTCAGTCAGTACCTAGCAGTTAACTGTCAAATAATATAAACACCTCTCAGCCAATACTTATACCTCAACCAGCTATAGTACCAGTAGGAGAAAATAATGACAATGCCTACCCTAAGTTATACAAGGACTAGCAGGATGGCTTCAAAGATAACAAACGAGAGAACAATGATGGTAGATTTGCTAACATTTAGAGGAAGAAATCAGGATCCAGTAGAGTGGCTTGAGGCTTTTGAACGAGCTTGTAAAGCAAACCGTATCAATACCACTCAAATGATTGAAATAGTCTCCAGTTATTTAACAGGAATAGCACTAACATAGTTTCAATGACAATATATTACCAACTGGAATATTAGGATCAATCCTGGTACTTCTTTCGTATTATTATTTGAATAACATTTTTGTAATGCATTTTGACAAAATCAATGGAAGTATCAGCTTAGGCATAGGATACAGAAACTAGGTGAAACGATTGAGAAATATGCGGCAGTAATAGGAAAACTATGAAAGCGAGTCGACCCACGGTATAGACAAGCTGAGATGGATAGAGTTGCTGAATTTATTGAAGGGCTGCGACCAGAATTTATGGTACCAGTGCAAATAGCAATGCCAACAACAGTAGATCAAGCAATCAAAAAGGCCAGAGCAGTAGAATCTGCATATTCCATTAGAATGGAGCTATCTGCCTATTCGTTAATATCTAATTACATGCAATTATTACAAGGAGGAATGGTACCAGCTCGCACAAGTATAGCAATGCAACCTACATATATTACACAGCAACCAGATATTGAGAACACTATTAATCGCAAACTAAATGAAGGGTTATAAGCGATTATGGCAAACATTAGGTAACAGTAATAATAACAACAATAGCAGTAGCAACAGTTACAACAACGGCCATGCGAATGTTTTAATTATAAAAAATTTGGATACTTGTCTAAAGATTGTAGAAGTAATCGACGTATGAATAATGACCAATCAAATATTGAATGCTTTAACTGTGGGAAGTATAGCTATTTCGCAGAGATTGCAGGAGTACAAACAATAATAGAAGTCAAAACTTTCAAAATCATAATGATAACAATAGAAATTGTAACCGTAGTAATAGCAGGAATAGGAATTATAGAAATAATAATAAAAATAATAACTACAATAATAACAGTAATAATAATAATAATAACCAACAGCATTTAAACTAGAAGTTGCACCTCTTAGGGGTGAGTATGCGAACAAACCAAAGCCTCTAAAAGTGAAAGAAGAGGAAGAAGCAAAAGAGAATAGTCAAGATAAAGTAAAAACAAAAGCAAGTTTAATAGAAGTACCTTATATATGTAGAGGAATAAATTTGAAAATACGATTCAGAGGACCATATGAAAACAAATATGATCACTTTAATTGTGGAGAATATGACTACCATAGTCATATTGTATGCACAAATTGTAATAAGATCGCTAAAGAAATAGCAACACGATGCGAATGTAAGGAAATAAAATGGAAGTATCCACTAACTGATGAAAGGATTTTCAGTAAAAATCAGCCAATTAAACCAGTAGATCTCTAACAACAAGAAGAAGTCACTGTTAAATAGAGGCTGAAGTATGTGTTAGGGATCTTATATGATAATAAAGGAATCTATCTTTCAAAACGAATTGACCCAAATAAGAAAATGTATAACTTATGGCAAACAGTCAGTGGGAAAGTTGAACTAGAGGAATCATCGGTAAGGACTATGATTCGAAAAATTGATGAAGAAACTGGAATACAATTGGATGATAATTGCTTGGAATACATTCTAAATGACCTTACATTTAATTGTGATGTATATAAAGTAAAGATAAACAAAGAAATACCTCAACATACTGAACCTACCAAATACAGTGATTGGCAATATTTTGAGTTTGATGAATATTTACAAATGGCTGGTCTAAATGAACTAACACCAACGTATAATAAATATGAAGAACTTTTCATATCTAAATTAAAGGAATACATTGTTACTAGTAATATGACACGTGATGAATTTATCAAGAATGCATTGTTTATTGAAGCCCAAGTGGAAGGATATCCTATAAATTCTCTAGTAGATACTGGATCTATAGAACGTATTATTACTCAGTGGTATCTTAGGCAAATCAATAAGGAAATTGATGAACCTGCAAAAATAAAAATCATGGAAGTAAATAGAAAAACTATAATGCTTTTAGGAATAATTAAAGGAGTTACAGTAGAAGTTAATGGAATAACTGTTAACGAAGATATGCTAATAACCAATGCTATAGGATATAATATTATCTTAGAAAATACCTGATTGCAAAAAGTTCATGTAATCATTGACTATAATACTGGCATTCTAGTCATATAACAAGGAGATCAAACTTCTATGATGCCTATAACTTATACGCAGGATATACATCCAGGAAGGTTTATACCAATCAAGCTTAAAATAACAGTGGATGAACTAGAATTTGAAGAGGAGGAAGATATCGATATTCAACAATGTTTTGCCATTGTTCCCAAAAAAGAAGAGAAGGTAATCCAAATAAATAGAAAGGAATATCCTGAAATATACTTACAACAAATTGAATACGAAATGGATGTACAATAAAATAGAAATTGGATGGGATCGACTACATGTTAGTGTTTGAAAAATTTAAGAAATGAAGGCCAATGTGATGACTGTAGAAAAATTGTAAGAACGGTACAAACTTATCAATACTATATTGGCTTGTATTGTCTAGTCACAGTAAATTTTTTTTTTAATGCCAAATTTATAAATTACATATAAACATATAAAATCATATGACTAAAAAGTGCCAAATTTATAAATTTATATATAGATCACATGATTGATATTTATACTTTATTAAATTTATACATAAATTTAAGAAAATTCTTCAAAAATCGATTGAGGAATAACACAATATTTTTTATATTTTTTAACTGCATATTCTGCTTGCTTTGCATTAAGTCCTTTTCTATAAGCATCCATATACCTAAAAGACTTTTATGCATAACCTCAAATTTGTTTTAAAGAAATTGAATCTAATGCTTCTAGTATAATTTTTTGCAAACTTCGCCAAGTATAATCATAATTTCTTCTTGTATATCGTTTTGCATCTCCCCAATAAATCTCAATAAAATTGAATTCACAATGAAATTTAGGATAAAAAATAACTTTATGACCTAAATTTTCAATTGTTTTATGAATTAAACAAGATTAATTACGAAAATCATCTTGTTATTTTAAAATATGTTGCATACAACAATTTTTTCCAGGTATATCATTTTTGCAGAAGCCAATTAATTTTTCATTCCATAATCCTCTTTCTTGAAGAATTGCTTTCATTCCTTTTGGTTTTCCTTGTAATTCAGGATTTGGATGATTATTTGGAAAAACCATATGTTGTATTTGACCATTAAAGACTGTATCGCGCATTTTTGGTTGTTTTCCACCAGGATTTACATTCATTGCTTTTGCATTAAGTGCATCTGAAACATAAGCACCATGTAAAGAAAAATTATCAAAAACAAATATAGCAATAGCTTCAGGATGTGTTGTTTCAAAAATAGGAATAGCTTTTTCAACAATCTATATATGTAAATTTAATTAATAAAAAAATTATATTTTTTATAAAATAACATAATTATATACCTGTTTAATCAATTATTCAATATTCCAATAACCATCATGATTTTTTCCAGGATATATTATTGTTTTTGCTTCATGTGGAAAGTTTTCATCAACAGTATTTATTTGTTCTTTATTAAGTTTAAGTCTTCCAATAGTTTCACATAAAAAATCACTAACGTGAATTGCTCGACCTTGTTCTTTTTTTCGAAGTGGTTGTTCAGTATCAGGACCCCATCCAGATTTTCGACCATCATTAGCATGAAATAATGTTTCGTCATGAGTAATAAAATATGAGGTTTATCTGTTTCATTAAGAATAGGATTTATTTGAATTTCCAAATCATTTCCTTCAAAACGTGGCATTAATTTTTCATATCTATTAAAATAAATTTTATTATATTAGTTTTTATTATAAACATTAAATAAATAAATAAATAAATTATAATCCATACTCTGCCATTTGAGTAAGAAATTGTTGATGATATTCAACAACATCAGCTCTTTCATGTTTGTCGATATATATTCCTTTATGATACCTTTTATATCGAAAACCCATCTTATAAAGCCAACGTCGAGCTGTATTTTTTCTAAGAAATAAAAAAAAATAATTAAAAATATATTTTAATATAAAGTTCAATAATTAAAAAAATTATTACATACGCAATTTTAGTTTTACGTTCAATGCTTAATTTTGGAAATATATTATTTGATATATAGTTAATAAAATCTGATAAATAAAATTCAAATTTATTTATTCGTAAATAGTTAACAATTTCATGACGTATGTCTTCATCATCAAGAAGACTTTTAACTTTAATATGTTTCCCACGTATTGAAACAGGAATTTCTTGAATTTGTGCTAACATACGAGTCCACTTTCGAAGTTGACGAGCAAAATATTCATTTTTACCTAATTGTTATGCAACAAAAAGGCTGGCTTCCATTTTTTTGATATTTAATTGACAGCATCGACAATATTGAAGTACAGCTCCTAATCGCCATTTTTGTTCAGGTAATAAAATCTCATCTTGAAGTTTTTTTTCTATAAAAGGAATTAATTTTATTAATTCAATTTCATTATCACTCTCTATTTCTGACCCTGTGGATGATAAATTGATATCATCATGACCTTCCAATTCATTTAAATGAGTATCATCCATTTGTGTATCAGGTTCATTTTGTACAGAAAGAAAAAATTGCGTAATAGTATTGCCATTTTGTATAGCCATTTTCTTTGCGGCTGCTTTGCATCTTTTTTGAGTTTGGATACTGTTACCTATGTATTGAAGTGGCAGTTTAGATTTAATATTTTTTGTATCAGAAACCAGCTTTTTTAACGTATTTTTAGGTTCATTATCAAGTTCGGAATCCGCTCACATAATCTCATCATCAGAAGATATTTCAGAATTTTTATCGAATAAAGAACCTTCCTCAGATGACAAATTTTCTTCAAATGGAGAATCTTCGACAATAATCAGCTTATTTTTTAAAGATACTTTTATTAAATGTTTTTTTTTGCTTTGACCGACGTCCCATAGATAAAGTTTGATTTACATTTTTTTTTCTCACACCTTTTTATAAAAGGTGTGCAATTATGTACCAATAAAAATTAAAAATTTAACATAAAAATTAGGAGCTGGGTCATTTTTTTCATTAAAATTTTTCATAAAACATTGAAAAAAAAAGAGGTGCCGAAGTTTTTAGAGTTAATATCACACAAAAAGAAAGCTGCAAAAAAAGATAAAACTTTATTTAAATCAAAGTTAATCTCGATATAGTTTAGTTTAAACACTAACTTTTCAAACTGTACGTGATTAATTAATGTAAGATTGACCAATCATATTCATTTACTTCGGGTGCTAAATTTCATGATACATATTAGAAATGGGTTGACTTTAAATTCTTATTCCTCTCAAATTAGTAATCGGATTATAAAAATCTCTTCATTAATTTAAATTACAGGTTACAAATAACATAAAAATGAAGAAATTTTATTTAAAATGTTAATATTTATTTTTTAATAACAGATCGAACATAGCTTATAAAATTTACCGTGACTAGACGATACGAGCCAATAGGGTCAGAATTATTTTTTGCGATATCAGATCTTAGGAAAGTATTAGAAAGATTTAATATTTGCATACAAGCATGAAAACTTATCCTTTTAAATAAGGCCAGAATGGCCTCTGGAGAATGGCATAATGCCAATGATCAATTAAAATGCAAAGGATTTGAGCCTAAAACAATTAAAGACTTTGCGGGATATATAATTTTAAGTAACTATGATACACCACTTCACATTGAAATGGGTGATAGACGTATTGTATGTCTAGATATATCGCTTTAATGTAAAGGAAATATGAAATATTTTAAGTATTTAGGGAAAATTTTAGATAATCCAAATACACCTGGTGTTTTCATGAATTATTTACTTAAATGTGACTTTTCAGATTGGATATCATAAAATATTCCTAATACTAAAATGAGAGCAGAAACAATGAGGATCAACTTTCTAATCCTATTAGGTTTATAATCGATTATACTTCTTCATGGCTTGTTGAAAAAATTGATAGGCTATACTGTACAAATTTATATCAAGAATATATTACCTGATGTGAAAATAATGGAAAAAAAACATTTGCTAATGTTATTTTAGAAAAGAAGTTTTCACAAATTGGTATTGATAGAATACGTTCACGAGATAATAGAATAAGAGTATATTAGTATATTCTTAACCGCTTCAAGATCATAGCCAAGCTTCGTGAATCTGGCTTAGGAGATATCAAAGAATTTTCTGACATATCTCAAGATGAGTTGCCAGTTAATGAACCTGCAGACATACCCATATTCAATGTGCCAGAAATTATTTTCCCAAAAATAATTCCACCACAACAAGAAAAGGATGTAGCAGAACAATTGGAAGTCCCAATCGTCTCAACATCTGGAACATCTGTGACTTCTAATCTATATAAGCTAGTAATTGACAAGATCCCTAAACATATTGAATCTAGCAATAAAAAAGTTTCTTCTGCATTTTTGGCTAGACAACAGCGAGAAGAGCGTCTCAGAAAATGGGCAATCGATCATGGTGAAAACCCTGATAAGTTTATGACGATTACAGAAAAAGATGTCAACTTTTCTCAAGAGTATCGAGACATGATAATGGCAGACGCAGAAGTCATCAAATTTGCTAGAGAAAATAATATGAATCTGAATGATTTATTTTACATGACTAGAAGGGAAAGATTAATAAGCAAAAAAATATATCTCTGGGAGTTCGAGGATGTGGGAAAATCCTGAAAGTGTATTTATGATAATGAAGAATAGCAAAAAAATATAAGCATACTCCAGGAGAATGGTATGCTTTGGTAAAGAATGAATAAGAGTGGATTAATTAATATTAGTAGAGATAAAACTTTCGTTCTTTACAACTAGGCGATATAAAATTCCAAATTATTATTATGTATTTTTTTGCATATCCTATCAACCCGCAAATTTCAAATTGATGTAAAACCCCTGGCCAGAACAAGAGTTATATATTTTTCCCTTCTCTAGCCCTTCGATAGTTTTTACTGACCATGGGGTAGATAAATTGCAGAATAAATTTTTCGAATTGAACTTTTTCAGATATAGAATAACCTAAGGATTGCACATAATCTAGTAGTTACTTCACAAGCTATATCTACACAACCATGTTCGCAATTGTAACAAAGTACGTTGTAAAGCATAAACTCAATAAAGATATGAGTAATGAAGAACTTAGCCGGTATGCTCTAGCATTACTCGAGCTTTTGACAGATAAATTGAAAAGAGACGAGGGCTGTTAGCGCTTCTAAAAAGGGTATAATTTTAGCAGAGAGCAGGCATTTGTATTAATCTCTGATCAGAGAATTTGCTGAAGTAGAAGTCAGGTAATCCTCAAAGAAGAAGGGGATAAAGCAGGGGAAGTTAATATATGCTAAGTATCTGACATCATCTTAGATGAAGAAATTATTGAAAGTACAATCCAGTGTATTATTCGAGATAATCTTAGTGAAAAAGAAGTAAAGACGATAGTCAAGGCTTTAACTATAACGTCTCCTAACTCTGTCACCACCACATCCCGTCTTAGTAAGCTTCAAAGAGAGTTGCAAAAACTTAATGCCTCAGAAAAAATAATCTCTGCTACATTAGATGAAGAAACAACCTGCGCATCTAATAAGATTCAAAAGAAGCGTAGAGATCAACATGAAAATAAAGGGATTGATTTTTCAGATCACTTCTCGTTAGAATCAGTTAATAAGAGACTCAATTTGTATGACACATCTAAGATACTCACTGTGCAAGCCCTAGCTGATGTAATAATCATGCTTTGCATCCGTCCTGCTGAAATTAAAGACTTGCGTATATCTAATGGAGGTGTAACTGGATACGCAAAAAACTGAGATCAGTAGGATAAATCCTTGGGTATTTAGATCGTTAAAAAGGGATGAAGAGCGGACTAAACTTCTCCTTACTTGGATTCAAAATACAATTTCTTCTGAACAGTTGAGGGATCCAGGAGTGCCAGGAGTTAAATGGTTTAATACATTTTTGAAAAAAGAAAGATTTCTTCCTGAAACTGGTAAACCACTTCTTCCTAGCTATTTGCACAAATTAGGAGCAGTATTTGCGGTCATATTATAGTGCAAAGAATTTATCAGAAGCTATGACTATCGCCAGTCAAGCCTTTCGACATTCGCCAGACAACCATTCCTCCTCAGTGCAAAACTATATAATAGTCAATTTTTGAAAAAGAGGACAGCCTTATGATCAGGCAACGGTATTCGAGCTCTTCAATGAAAACTAATCACATAGATGGGTTAGACAACATTTATTAAATTTTATTTTTTCGAAATATTAAGATTGGATATGCGCAGGTAGGCCTACTATTCACATTTTCGCTTTCTAATATATTAGAGATATTAATGATGGTTTATTTCTTAGAATCTGGTACAACTTGAAAGTGCGTTCTAAATAAATAAGAAAAAATGAACTGCAGATCAAGCGTTTGGGAATGACTATTTCGACTATATCTATGGTATTATAACCACAGGTACAGAGTGGCATTTTATCATATATACTCTGGATGGCATCTTCTCCACAAGCGGTAGCGAGCATCAGATTAATCTTACAAAGTCTGCCATTAAAGAAAATCCTGAATTACTTCGAAGCAACGTAAAAAGGATAATTGGTATTATTGTTGGGTTGCTAAAGGATCGGGTTAGTGTAGATAGTTCTCCAGCTAGTAAGAGGCTAGGATCAAAAAGTTTATTAACAAATAATATGTATCACAGGCACAGTCCTGAACATTTGTATTTATTTTTCGCATGTAATAATAAAAAATTTTCCGAGACGGCCTGTCCCGCAAATTTCAGTGTATTAGTTTTATATAGTTCATGTCGTTCAAGCTTGAAGTATTGAAACAGCGTATCATTGAACTTGAGGTCGAGAATGCCGAAATACCTGATCTTAGAAGAAAGGTTTCTGAGTTTGATGCTGAGAGAGCTGAACTTAAACGCATGATTGCCGAGGCTATAAGATCGACTGAGGAAACAAGTAAGTGGCGTAATGCTGAGAATGCCAAACTCAAGGCCAGAATCGAGGAGTTAGAATCTGAGAATGATGAGTTTAGGGATAGACTCACGAAAGTGGAACAGAATCAGTTGCAAAATGACTCGGGGTCTCTAGAAAGACCGCTCTCAAAGGAAAACAAAACCCCTGACAATAACTCATCTAACTTTACTTTAGCGCCTTTGACCAATTCGGGTGTAGACCATCATGGAAAATTGTTGGTGAATACTTCTTTACCAGAAGACAAGGAAACGGATGCTTTCTTAGATGAGGAGTATAAGAAAAAGGTTAGTAATGAGATTAGGCAGAGAAATCAGAAAAAGAAACTTTGCTTTAGCGCCTCCAGCCAAACTCAAGAGTCTCTTCCAACACATTCCAAAGAGAAAATGCCTCAAGAGATCAAGTGTCCTACCTCTGATCCAGTGATCCATGATCAAAAGAGAGTTACCGGAGGTAGCAGGTCACATAAGAAAAAAGGAATGGATGAACTCAAGCACGAATTATTCAGTCTCCCTCCGGAATCTGATAGTCTGTCCTCTATAAACCATAATAATATGACTGAAGCTTCTGAGACGACCCGTTCTGGAAAAGTTACCTATGATAACATTGATGAAGCCTCACAACATCTAGCTCAGTT